CTTGGTCCTATGAACATGCAATTCTGTGATTGAATTAGAGAGAGATGCTTTTGCTCATGTGGTTTGGAAAGGCTTTCTTTGCAGGTTGTTTTCAGGGTGTATGAAGCACTACATTCTGAAGGTCAGAGAAGTCAGTCATGACATATTATGGGTAAGCTCATCAGCTCCTTACTTCATAGTGAGTTCACAAGGGTGTGATGCAGTCCAGTAAGTAATGTTCATGATGTTCTGCTACAGAACATTTGGGTTTCCCTACAGGTGCAATCAATATGAAGTGAGTCATTAGTCATCACATTTTCTGGAAGAATGAGAAGAGAAAAAGTTTAGAATAAAATTGAAAACAGTGTTGTAATTTACTTTTGTCACTCATATGAGAGGATGATGTTTTGCATCAAGCTTGTAAAAGCTTACTATAGCCTGGTTCTTATGCTACATACTGACTAGGAATGAATGGAATGAGAATGTAAGACTTCCCCAATCTGATTTAGTATTATTTGTACTAGGAATGTATGAATATGTGTGTGCATATTCACACAGGATGTTCTTTCATATTGTAAAAAAAAATTGATGGTGGTAGGGGATGGGGGTGGTGGTTTTACAGGCAATGGGGAGAGCTACATAACAAAAGAAAGAAAAAGTGAACACATGGAAACTATGTATAGGGTGGGTAGCTAGGCCAGAAGGAAAGTAGTGGAAATCTCCTTACCCTAGGAAACTGAGTCTTGTCTATGCCAGGTATTTATTAATGTTGGGAAGGCATTTGTAAATTCAAACTCTCAGTGAATATACTGGACATGTTCTTCCTGTTTGAATACAAAAATCCACTTTTTCAAGGGCTAAAGAGTTCTTTGAATTGAATGTTGATTGAAAGTTCAAGGTTTGAAACTTCAAGGAAGACAAATGTGTCAGTGACCAGATGAAACAAAACAATACCAAGGTTTTAGCTAGCATGCACTATTTCATAACCAATAGTTCTGTTTTCATATCTTCAGGATAAACAGGTTAAAAAGGAGTTGCTACATTAGGGGCTTAAAATTCAGGGTGTTTATCATTTCCAACAAATATTTCCAAACAGTCTCCTTTGGATAGGTCACTCCTTATTTTGAGACTGATGTCTTCCATCTGTCCCTTTGCTTTTCAGAGAATATGGGTGAGACGATCCACTCTGAAGATTTTCATGGTTCCACTAACTTTTCTAACTGAACATGATTCCAGTTACATGCCATTCTACGCTTCCATAATCTGGAAAGAAACTTTTCTGCCTGGGGAATTGTCTGGTGAACGTTCGGAGAAGGGATGGAAGGGCCTTTTGGATAGAGAACTTGAAATTCTTTTGCGTTATCACTTTGGCCCCTTCATCTCCTCCCTCTTTCCCCTATGTCATTTTCAATCCTGTATAGGAGATCTGAAGGTTTCTTTCTCACTCTTAACCTCAGTCACTTTAGGAAGATGTAAAAATCCCTTTGGGAAAGAAGCCGGCTAAGAACAGGATAGAACTGGAAAGTTCTTCCCCGGTGTCCTTCCCTTTCCAATTATCCTCTCACTCTTCCTCCCCTTCTCTCTTCTTCTTCCACAAAGAGCTCATTAGTTGAGGTCCTTTGGGTCCGCGGCCCGGGCCCCATCCCTCACATTAAGCCAGGTTGGCGCCTACATTTGTAATGAACAAGTACGTACCGGCCCGGCCTCTGGACACCTCTTCAGTGAGCGCCCGGCCTCTGCAGCCTGACATTTTCCCCTGATGCGTCATCCTCCCCACCGCTGCCATATGCAAAATCCCACTGAAAGCAACGTTAATGTTCGAGTTAGAACGCTCACCGAGATTAGAAACAGATTCCCACTTTGGGGCACCTGGGGGTCGTTTTGGTCTCTGAGATTTCAATTGCCCCACATTTCCCTTCACTGAATAGAAAGCAGAAAGAACCTGCGCTCAAGCCTGAGGATTTGGCAAGTCAGGGTGTGACCCCAGACGCCCGCAATTCCCTACTTCCCCCGCGGCCCAGAGGCTCAGGGCCGTAACTTTCGAGGATAGAAAAGCTTCCTTCCCCAAGGGACGCCAAACTCGCCTAATCCGAGACAGTCAATGGCACTAAAAATCTGCAGGAAGATCCTGTCAGTGGTTAGATTCCACAAGCAGCTGTGTGCTGGGGCGGGACCGGGTTTTAGATAGTGAGAAGCAATGAATGGGTCTCCAAAGCTAGATTTTCTGGAGTTCAGTGACCAAGAATCTCGAATTAAATAATCTGCTTAGTCTTTCACTTCCCCGAATGGGTTCATGCCTCGAGGCTGGTAATTTTGGAGTGCGGGCCCCTGAGTTCCGCGTTGAAAGTGCTTTCGCTGAGTAGAGGCGAAGTGGAAGAGCCTTACTAAGCCAGAGACGCAGTTCAGTCTTGCAGGTCTGTGGAGCCAGCAGTTCCACCATCTTCCCCACGAAGTTAATGGTGTTTGTGGTTTTTCCCCTTTAATAGGCCATGAAGTCAACAAACTCCCCACATGGTGGCTCCCTTTACTAAAGTTGAGTAGGGAATTCGTACAGGAGTCGTGGAAATTTTCAAGTATTTCTACAGATTGAACTCATTTCAGAATACGCGTGGGAGGAAAGAGTAAGGATTTTAATCGGGTTCACCTTTGACGTGAAGCAAGGCGGAAGACAGGAAAACCTGAGTCGGTAATAGCTGTGGGCGCTTTAGTAAGAAAGACGTCTCTGCTTGATTATCCGGTCGTTTTCACCCCGGGCTCTTTGTGTGAGCGCTTACTCTAGAGGCAGAGCTGAACATGAACACGCGCATGTAAACACTCCAACATAAATCAGCGAGCATATGCAGTGGAGACAAAGAGGTACATTCCCATGTAGATGTGGTCTGAAGCGTCATTGCAGACAAGCAATCTGGTGCATCCCCAGGAATAAACTAAGAGGAAGAGTTTCTGGCCATTCATGGCCAGGAATAAGTGAAATTTTGTCTTCTTGGAGGAAGTATTAAATCTCAAATAGGAGAGTGGGAAAGGCATTGAAATGAGAAGCATTAGAGTTTTGCCTTAAAAAAAGCATGCGGAACCAATGTAGCTTATTTAAATGTTAGACCCAAATCATAGTAACAGGAAACACTCCCACTAAGTTGTCATTTCCTCTAATTTTGTTTTAAGGTCTAATACAAATAATTAACTTGCACACACTAATGCTTATTGATAGCTCTATTTCCTTTTGAAAGAAATAGACCCAAGTTCTTTTACTGGAGTTGAAATTTACAAATCTTCTTAAATTACCCAGGGACTTGGAAGTCTCCCTTATTGCTTTCCTCTTCCCACGTCATTTTCAGTTAAAAAAAAATTTAACTGTTCCCAACAGAGTGATTCCTGTTAGAAACCCTCAGCAAGTGAACTTGTGCTGGGAATCCTCATGCTTTCTCAGTCTGTCTGTATTCCCCTAAGCAAAACTCAAATTGTAAATAAAGGGGGAAAACGTATTTCTCACTCCAAGGTTCTTAACATTTAAATTTTTGTGGAAAGCACAATTTGTTTCAATTCTTCAAATCTGTAAAAGCCACAGAAAGTGTGAAGGTGTCCAAATAGGTCATCTAGAGTTCCAAAATCCAGGACTAATGGGAGACATAGAATGCTCTTTTTTTTGAAATCTAGACAGGCTGGACCTTTCTCAGCTTTAAGGGCATTCATGAACACTGCAAGGGGGGAACGCATCTGAACAGTGGGATGACTTATGCAATGAATTACTACATTAATGGCACCACTGCCAAATCCTCAGATTTAGAGGCTGTAGTGAAAAATTGAATCAGGGGCAATTTTCAATGTTTGTAGCATCTGCGACCAAACAGGTTCAGCACTCAGAGCCTGGAGAGCTCCACAGGCCGTGCTCTGGACTTAAGCTTTAACTCTAAATCAATCTGCTCATAGCCAGACTGTCAACGACAGCCAGACTCATTAGCAATTTACTGATAATCATCCAAGACTACTCTTTAAAAACAAAATGACTTCCACATTTAATTGTCTATCTGAAAGAACATACGTAAGAAATTAGGAGATCTAAATTAAATTTATTAATAGGAGAGTTTGATGAAGCTTAATTCCAGATCCTAGAGCTCCGGTTGCTGGGGCTTGCTGAAAAGTAAAGAGAAATAATAGGGATATAGTTAAAAACATGACTTTTACCATGCTCAAAATTCTCTGACTTCTTTACCGATCTTTGAGAAACGGGTAAAATTGAAAACCGTCAAAATAATTGGACTTCTTAAAAATTGGATTGTATGAGTGAAAGGTGTTTATGAGAAGTGGATGACTCCGGATCTTATCATCCACGAGGACAGCACAGAATAGTTAATATGTTCCTTGAGGGACTAGGATGCTGACGTCTTTTTCTGATACCCGATCATTACGTGACTGAAAAAAAAAAAGGAAGTCATTTCATGAATAAAAATCGGAGCGCAACAGTGCAACAAAATATTCTGTACTTAAAGGCCAGAGGCAGACAGATGTTGACAAAGAAGGCTCTTCTAAAACCATGTTTGGATAGATTTCTGCTAACTGCACATATAAATAGGAGGAGAGGGCCGGTCACCTCTGTATCCATCGGCAGCAGCAGCAGCAGAAGCCGCAGCTTCAGACGCAGCCAGAAGGACCTCAGAACAGAGAAGGCGCTGCCGACTTGCACAGCTGTCTGACCGGGCGGTTCCCACAGAAGCCAGCTGAACCTCTGCCCTCTCTCTCTCCTTCCTCTGCTTCTTTGACTTTCCCTCTTTTCCTTAATCACTTACTTCTTTCTCCCAGTGGACTTAGGCCACTTTGTCCTCCACCCCCACTTTAGCACATTGCCTACTCTTTCTTCCTTCTACATCGCTCTCTTCTCCCCCTTCTCTCGGTGTCACGCTCCCTCCTAGTTCTGTGCGTCTACAAACTTTTGAACAGAATACTGGCCTCAGCAAACAAGTCCTCCAGCTCCTCCTGCTGCTCCTGCTCGTTCCTGCGGCTTCTCCTCAGACACGAACGCCACACGGTGATGCCTCTTGGGTTGTGACTCCAGCGCAGAAACTTGGAGAAGCCCTTTGCCCGCCGTCCTACTTGGCAACAAACCCTCTCCTAGCGGCGGTAAGAGTTCAATGGTAAGGGGGGAAAAATCTTACCAAACCAAACGGCTCACCTGACTGCTGATTCTTTCGCCAGCATGGGGGTACGAATTAGCTTTCCTTCGTACCAGGTCTGGCGAGTTATTGGGCACTGGATATATATATATATATATATATATATATATATATATATATATATATATATATACACACACACACACACGTGTATATATATGTATATATATACATATATATATATATAAATAATTATTCCCCCCCCTAACTACGTATAGCAAGAGGGAAGTGGCAGGGTGTGCGAAGTCTGTCACTAAGCGGTATTCAATACCGGGAGCCGGGGCTTTGTTCCGTCCCTCCCCCAGCTCCGGGAGTTTCTTGGGGTTGGCGCTTGGAAGGCCAGGGGCGTTCTGACGGCTGTGTGCCCTCTTTCCCGTTCTGCGCAGAATGACCATGTGTAGCGGAGCAAGGCTAGCCCTGTTGGTCTACGGGATAATAATGCACAGCAGCGTCTACTGCTCACCTGCCGCGGCTGGGCTCCGGTTCCCTGGTATCAGGTAGGTGTTGGCTACCCGGGCTGAATTGAGGCTGGGGCTTCCATTCCCCTGACATTCCCTGTGGTCGTCCTTCTGCAGTTCCTCAGTCCCGGCTACGACCATCTCCCCATGCGCCCCAGAGCGCCGCCGCCAGCCTGGGTAGGGCCGCGGGACCCTGGCCCCGGCTCAGTCCCAGGGCCGGGCAGGCTCCACTTCGGCTCGGCGTTCCTCTCTCAGCCAGCGGCAGCTTAGGGGCCCCGGTAGAGCGAGTGAGCTTCAACCGGCTGGAGAAACCTACTCTCCTCCAGCCCCGCCCGCGGGAGGGGGGCAGGGCAGATCCCCGAGCTTGACTTCTTTTCCCTATTCTCAGCTGGAGTTAGAACTTTGGCTCCTAGAGCCAGGTTGGGGGGTTGGGCTTTATGCGCCCAGAGACTTTGCTTTGTTACAGCTTGTTCTGGACTGTCGCGGAGGGTTCTCCCTCACCTCAATCAAATTCTTTCCCCTGGGAGAGCTTTCTCTAAAGTGATACATTTTCCAACTGCATTCTGAGTCTCAGGCTGTCCTGGGGAGGTGGAGTGTGGGCTGAGTATGGTTGAGGAAAAGCTGTTTGAAAGAAGGAAAAACAGGAATGAGTCTGAGAGGGAGGAGGAGAAATGGATGCAAGGAAGAAGAGAAAGCAAGCAGGCAGGCAGAACCAGGACAGCCCTGTCCGCCTCCGGCGGAGTAACCCTGGCATTTTTCTTAATCCTGGTTTCTAATCGGTCGGGTTCCTTGCCTCAACCCGAGTCCCCGGCGGGTCAGACGGAGAGTGGGAGCTAGCTTTGCAGCACTGCATCCACAACCCGCAGCGCACCCGGCTCCAGACAAGGAGGAGCGCGAGTTTCGCCTACAAAGCTGCTTCTCCGAGCCGCACCCGAGAACTCGCCCTAGGGGCCACTGACCATTGATATGGACCAAGAGATGGGTTCTGTCCTTAGCATTAGGACGCCAGCATCTGGGTACAGGGCAGGAGTGAAAGTGGCCAGAGAGACCCGGTCAGCTAGGCAGAGGCGCGTCACCTGGGAAGGGCTGCGTTTGGAGCCGGCTAAGGGATGTGCCAGCCTTTACCTCTCTCCAGGGATGAAGAAAAGGCGAGCGGAGTAACGAAATGTCTCTCTAACCTCTCCTAGAGAGCGCGACTTGTCCTGGCCACTTTCCGAGTCTTTCAGGCGGCCTAAAGCGAGGAATTTTGTGTTTTAACCCACCTCATCCCGTCCTGTATCTAAGATAGAGGCGGTGGGCAAGGGTGACTGCGAGGCCGCTATGCCCCTACGGGCCTTCAGTCCCCCGTTGCCCCTTTCCCTGATCCCTGGGGTTGAGATGCCGTCTCATAGCCTCAGCATCGCTAACAGATTAGCTGAAACTATTTATTCAGTGGACTTAAAAGCCCTATTTCACCCCTAACTATTTTTAAAGTCCTGTGTGCCTGGCCCTTTCCCCGGGCGAGAGGCAACGGAGGGCGCGGACACGCCACAGAATGAGCCCCCGCCAAACCAACTAAGTTTCGGAGCATCTATTATTCATGTTCCTGCCAGATCCTCTCCGGCCCAAAATAGAAGCCGGTGGTTCTCCGTGACCTACATCTGCGCTGGGAAGGGCTCCCCTGGGCTCTGAGGCTGTGTGTGTGTGTGTGTGTGTGTGTGTGTGTGTGTGTGTGTGTGTGTGTGTGTGTGTGTGTGTGTGTGGGGTGGCTGCCGAAGTTGGCCGCCGCATACCCCATCCATCCACCATCTCTGTTTCGCTCCTGGTCTCCCCCACCAGGTCTTCGTGTTGGCCAGCGCCTCGACTCCTAGAGTCTTTCTCGTCCCCGCCGGTTGCCTCTTGTGCGGGGAAGCTCAGGCCCCAGGCCGGGAGCGGGGCAGGCCTTTTCGGTGGTCAGGTGTGCGCAATTCCGCGGAGACACTGGAGCTTCCCAGTACTTGTTGAGGCCGCGGCCCTGCTGGGCGACCAGTCACCCGCGAGAGGAGGGGTTGGAGAGCCGCCTCGCGGGATGGGACTCTCATTTGGATGTAGTTTCCACCCCGTTACCTCTATCCCTACCCCTGTCCGGGGAGAAGAGGCAGATCTCCGTAGGGGACCTTTAGAAAGAAGGAAAACTAGTGCGAGCCCATTTCTTTGGGTCCTCGCAGAGCCGGGGAGCGACTTGTACTGATCACTCCTTCTGTCCCCGGCGATCCTTGCAGGCCGGAGGACGAAGTTTACGACGAAGACGGAAACCCGCTGCCGGACTTCTACGACTCCGACCCGCCGGGCGTAGGGAGCCCCGCCTCCGCGCTGCGCGATGCCTACGCGCTCTACTACCCCGCCGAGAAGAGGTACCAACCGCGCGGCTTCCGCGCGCCCCGAGACTGAGGTGGTGGGAGGGGCAGGGGGGTGATCCCCCCAGCAGGTTCTTTTCATAAAAGCCCTCAAAGCTCTTTTCTCCCTTGGCTGGTTCCCACGACAGCGACGGAAAGTTAGTAGCGGGTCAGTCTGTGTGGACAGGAGGGCCGCGTGGTGACCTAAGGTTCTATGGTCAAAGAGTGGTAGTGAGTGTGCACCGCGCCGATGGGGCGCCCAGACTGCACACCTGCCATTGGAGTTGCAGGAGGAACTTCCGTTCCTGGCATTAACTCACGGGAACATCCCAAGAGAGTTATCCGCGAGTTCTGGGCCTCTGGGTTATTTCCATCAGCCTCTCGGGGTGCCCGGGACAGGGGGAAGGAGGAGGGGGACGCTGGGGTGGCCCCTTGGGGACAGAGTCAGTGACCCTGGGCGCGCTTTGCCTCCCCGTTAGAGATGTCGCGCACGGGATTCTCAACAAGGCCTACCGCAGAGTGCTCGACCAGCTGTCCGTCAGGAAATACCTGCAAACGCTCGTGGCCAAGGGCGTGGGGTAAGAGTTAGCGAAAGAGTTAACTGGCGCCTGACGGCGCGCTCGCGCGGGGGTGGATGTCGGTGCGGAGCACGCGCAGGGCGGGTGGCGTGGCTTCTTTGTCCTTGCGTGCACGTGGGCCCGAGGGTGTGTCTGCGCTGCAGGGTCTGCGGGTCAGCCTCCGGCCACTGGAGAAGATTCCCAGGAGGCACCTGAAGTTTGGCGAGAGAGCTCAGGATCCGGGAGCAGAAAGGAGAGAGCAGGAAAACCGGGGAGTTTGATCCGTTTTGAATAAGAAAAAAGAGAAACCAAACAAACCCCTCAGTCATTCAAAACCTTCCAACTTCGCGTGACGATATGCTATAATTTCCTCCAAGTTTGAACTTTTTTTTTTTTTAGCGTTACTATAAATTCAAATTGAAAGCAACAAATCCTCAAATTTGGACACTTAGGGAAACAGTTTTTGCTCGTGCCAGACGAACCCAGAGCACAGAGCTTGCGTGGAGAACCTCTCAGCAGAAGGCAACATTTTAATAAAGCCCAAGGGAAAACAGATTACATTTTTTTTGCCATGAATTATTCATGCGATGAAAAATATTGCCTACAGCCTGTCGACTTATATTATTATCACGTTTTTCAACCTAGCGTGTGGAAGGAGAAGAGAGCTCGTGTCTGACTGGGAATTACGGGGTCGTGGTAAACTCCACGGCAGCAACCGGAATGGCATTTAGGGCTCTTTGGTTATTTTCTCTGTATGTGAGGAGTGAGAAGAACAGTTAGGACAATTCAGGGCAAACGCGCAGATGGGATGGTCTGTCTCATGGGGACAGGTTAGGCTTAAATCGTGTGCCCTTGGCCCGGACCTCGTCCTGGGTCCCTCGGTAAGGACTTAGTACCAAGAAATTTTCCGTGGCGAGGGAGGGGTGAGGAGTTTCTGTCGCAGCCCTCCCTCCCGGCTCTTAACTGGCAGAGGAAGGTGGCGCGCTGCGCAGTGAGCGCCCCTGCCCTCGCCGCAGGCTCCTGAGTTGGGTGGGGCCCGCCTGCTCCTCGCAGCTATTGAATCTGTGTCTCCCGCCCCGCAACCCTCTTCCGACCCTTTTACTTGCAGTGGGAACCTAGGCGACGGCGGGGAGGATGACTCAGAGCCGCTCTCCAAGCGTCACTCGGACGGAATCTTCACTGACAGCTACAGCCGCTACCGGAAACAAATGGCTGTCAAGAAATACTTGGCAGCTGTCCTAGGGAAAAGGTATAAACAAAGGGTTAAAAACAAAGGACGTCGAATAGCGTATTTGTAGCGATGAGTTACTAGCTACCCTGTGTATACAACCCTGACACAATGAAAAGTCATTTTCCCAACTAACTGAACAGTCATTGCTCATGTGTTCCATTCAAACATGTATTTATGTATGAAGTAAAGCCATTAAATGAATATTTTGATAATAATAGTTTTTCTTTTTACAAAGCACTAGAGAATGCACAGATATACTTTGTGGACCAATTATTGATATATATTATAAATATATATATTTAAGAATATATATAAGTATAATAGAGAGCAGTTCATATAAAGTATGCACAAGGATTGAAAATTTGCCTGAGCTGTTTATGTTTTTATATAAAATAAATAGAAAAATAGACAATCATTGTTTTGAATATTACTCCTATTTTTGTAAACTGGAATTAAAAGGATAGTATTTTTATCCACGACAGACCTGAAGATATTAATACCGACCATTTGCTACTGTACATAAAAAATGATGTCCTGCTCCAGGGAGATTTTGAGGTAATGATTTGGGATAATTGCTGTAGGGCATTCTTTTCCAGTGAGTCTCTAGGGCAGGCTGCTTCAGCCCCAGCCCAACTCAACTAGGCACTGTCCCCCTCCTGGGTGACGATTCTAATATTCCTGCTTTCTTTGATCCTACTTTTACGTGTATTTGTGTCTCTTCAGACTCTCAGCCCAGAAGGACATTCTTCTGCTAAAACAACAGCTCGATTTAAATTGTGCTTCTCCCCAAATTTCACACCACTCCCTGGGGGAAGAATTGGGAGATTGTACAGAGAAGGGAGGCTTGGGTAGGAAGCTCCCTTTTCTGTACTTCCAGGAAACCCACTATCCCAAGGTTAAGGCTATTGGAACAAAGTGAAAGAAGTATAGGTTTATTGGAAGAGGCAGAGCACAGGGCCGTAGGAGGAGGACCCTGGAGAGGGACTAGTTTGGGGCTGCCCCAGGTCTGGGACGCTGAGGGTAAGCCAAGTCCCCACCTTAGGTCCTCAGCCTGACTGACTTCGGGCGCTGGGTATTGGAAATAGATACAAAGTACAATGTGTTTTTCTCCAGTGCTGTCCATGCTTCTCATTTTGTGAAATGGCCAGGATCCTTCCCTTTTAACCCTGCTCTGTAGGAGCCACCCTTTTCTTTTGTGTTTTTTCTGAAGACCCCTCCTTCCCACCCTCTAGCACTGTTTAAGTACTGTTTACCATTTTTCATTCACTCTCTTAAACTTGTGAATGCGGTTTCCTTTTGTTGTTGTTGTTGTTTGATGCAAGCACTTATTGTAAAGTTTAGGAACCCCTGTGTAGTTACCACTAAGTAATTATGCACTAAATATGAACCTTTTGTTTCTTGTTTATTGAGTTTGTAGGTAAAATGTATTTTTCTACATTATGGCTTATTGCTTAGTAAAATTTATTTCATAAAACCAACCTTTGTCATATTAGAATGTGTAGTGTTCACATGTTGCTCAGTTTTACTAACTGATAAATAATTTAAACCTCGTCTTCATATGTATGAGTACTATCGTATATTTGTGGTCAAGAGTAAGGTAAGCAAGCTCCAACAGACCCCGAGAACCTCCCTTTTGTATCCTTTCTTGGCTACAGAAAGCATGTCTGTTTCCTATTAATTCCTTGAATATATCCAGTAATCTCTATAAACAAAAGAACGTTCACCCAGCAATCAGATCAAGCAACAACAGGCAAACCAGCCAAACTCCCAAATTTCAGGCACAAATTATTTTGAAAAAAACAAAAAAGAAGAAGAACAAGAAAAGATTAAACATTGGCTTGTAAGTTTAAATGACCTTTCCTTTTCGTTTACGGATTTGATCAGTATGAAGTCATAAATCAAAGAAAACAGAATTGGATTTGCATTCCCAGGCGGGATGGATGCTGCCAGGAGATCACATTGCAAACAGTAAAAGCACAGAGGCATTCGATCTATGCCTGAGTCCTGTGTACGACGGGATCAATCTTTCTTTAATTCTGCAGTCTCCTCAGGCAATGTGACATGGGACGCAGTTTGCAGCTTTAGTGCCTTTCTTCGCCTTTTAAATCGCCACGAATCACAGATGGCTATTTAGTGGCCCTACAATGCTGCAACACATCGGCTTGCATTTTAGTCTTAATTATTTGTTTCTTGGATAATGGGCAGAGTTTTCTGTATTTGTGTCAGCTGTTAGTGGTGAAATAGGGCTCTAGTTAACCTTTTATTTATGAAGTCTAATTTAGTGTTCCCGTGGCTAGTTGCAAGCATTTACAGTGATCACCTAGTTTAATCTTTTGTATATGTTTTAGAAATGCCAAGAGCCTTACTAACCTGGAGCAGATTTATGATGTAGTGATAATTACTTTAGGTAGATGATAGTCTTGAAGCTCTTATTTTGTGTGCAACTGATTATAAAAACATCTTAACCAAGTATTATTACACACATGATATCTATAACTAGGACTTTGATAACTGTTATATAAAGTGTGTAAAATTTGTATGAATAAATTTTTGTAAACAATGCAACTTCGTCTAATGTTTGGAGAAAAAAGATATGAGAAAATAACTACTTTAAAATCTCTTAAAGTATTATATTTTCTTAAGCAACCATAAGAATTTTCATGTCTGAAATATATATATATATACATATATATATTTATATATGCATCCATGTATTTTTATAAATGTACTTTAATATCTGCTTGATGGGATACTGGAGTCAACTAAAAATTTAAAGTAGCTACTCAGACGGAGATGCCTAAGAAGGTATTCAGCTCATAAATAGGCATTGATGTTTGAACATTTATAGAATGCACAGTTTAGATGAATTTCTATCCCCTAGTGTGTATATACATTTCTCAGTATTCAGAAAGTTACTATCCAGTGGTGGGACACAGTACCTTGGTATTTAGTTAGGTTTCTAAAATATCAATCTAACGTTCTTTTACAAGTAACTCTGCAGACTAAATTGGTCTTGATAAAATTCTGTATAAAAATGATTTAAATAATCAGTTTTGGAGGTTTTAAAATATGTTTAGAGCTATACAGACAACTATTTCTGATTAAAATACTTTGGGTAAAAGGAAAAAGAACATGAGTAAGCAAAGAGTTAATTAAATACCCTTTAAAGAAAATGTACTTTGAAGCCTAGGACAAAATATGAGAAGTTATTTGTGAATTATTTGTTTTATTAATTCATATTAACAAACTTTAAAGCACAGCCTTCATGTGAAACTTTCATAAAATTTTCAGTGGTGTTTATTTTTGAAGCCCTTGATGATTTCTGGGTTAAAAAATGTTGTACTGAAAGTCACTTACAATAAGCACATACCATTTAATTTAAATTGCCAGATTTTCATCTTAAAATTAGTGCAGTCAATTAATAAATCAATAAATATGTCACAGTAGTACTAAAGGACCAGCAAAAATAAAAACATCAGCAAGGATTAAAAAACTATCTTCAGAACTGAGCTCAGTATTTAACGTCCAGAAGCATATAGGGAGGAGCTTAGGATCTGGAGATCACATTTGTAGTGAATTAAAAAAAAATACAATACAATTCACATTTACATTGTATCTTATTAGATAGGAAGTTTTTCCTCTTCATCTTTAAGCACACCATGGAGACACGTGCGCGTGCGCGCGCGCACACACACACACACACACACACACACACACACAAAATAAACATTCTTTTGAGTTATCCTTCATAACAGGACAGTAAATTGCTATATACATGAATTTCACTTGAAGTCAGCCAAGTCTGGGGATTATCTCTACTTTCTGGACAAGTCATTAGGCCAACCCCAAAACATTCTCTTTCATTTTTCCATTTACCACACACATTATCTATCTATATCTATATCTATATCTATATCTATATCTATATCTATATCTATATCTATATCTGTAGTGTATATGTATATTGGTGTCCCACTGTGACCTCAAACTCAACCCTACTGTTCACACTGTTACAAGATTGGGAAACAAAGCTAAGTCTGAGTTCTTCCATTTCAATGTAACGCTTCTTTGAGGAAGGGAGATGCCTGCTCCTCTCGCTGCTGCCGGTTGCCTCACCACTGGCTCCCTACATTGGTTTGTAACTGATCAACCTGCCATTGTCACTCTCCTTTCAACCAGGTAGTTTTAGTTCCTTATCATATCTCTCTCAGCAGATGTTCCAGGGTAGCCTCCACTGTCACAAGGTTCAAAGTTCTTCATTCTTTTGACTCACTTTGTAGCTAGTTCTTCCTGCCAACTGTTACTCCTTCTTTAGAAGGAGACCTTATCAGTCTTTCAAACTCAAATGCTTCTTTTCATCTTTTGTCTCTCAACAATCCCTCCATGCCCAGAATGTCCTTTCTCTACCTACCCAATCTAAATATTCTATGAAGTCCAAGTCAAACCCACCCTTTCTAGGGATCTTCCTCAGTCTCTGAGTAACCACATCTTCGTTCCCCCACCACCGTCCTCGTACTCCTTTCTTGTGACCCTTACTCTGTGTAGCACTGTGTCGTGTGATCTTTAATTTCACTCTGCTCTGCCCTGTCCTTAACTATTTTGAAAGTTCATGGCTCATCTCTCCAGCTAGATGACCGCCTCAAGGGCATAGATGATACATTGCACTTTAATGCCCAACACACTTCTGAGAACATAAATATCTCTCTTGAGTGATTGAAATAACCAGAGGACTTGCAGAATTCACGGTGACATTTCTCCCTTATAGGACAGCTACAAAGCATATATAGGAAGTGAAATTAACTTATTAATTAGGTGTACATCATAAATCAAACTAGGAAACTCCCTCCAGGAAAAGCTACATAGAAAAGAATGCCAAATAAATTAGGTGGGTTTCTGCCATAAGATAAAATGAACTTTAAATTCGCCTGTAGGCAAAAAGCTGCAACAGACTCAAGCCACTAGGCCTTTATTTTTCCATTTTGATAAAGGATTGTATTTTCAAACTAAAGAGAATTCACCTCATGCCTCAAGACACTAATATCTTTTCCTAGGATAAAGGAAAAAGAATTTCTTGAGATGTAGACTGGGAACTGGACTGCCCTCAAAGTGATAATTTACAGAACAGTTATCTGCAGCTGCCAAAGAAACTTCTCCCATCAACAGAAATGTAATTTGAAACACAAGTTCATAGACAGGAAAAAGGACATAATGAAAAATATTTTTTAACAACAGTGGAACATTATAGTAGGTGATGTCATCTGGTCTAAGTTTATTTTTTTCTTAGCTATATCTTTGCTCCCTAATTCAGGGAGGGATATTATCTATAAACCAAAAGGAAAACAGTATGATGTATATTTGTGCATATTTCCCCTTCTCTTGTTAAATATGCTGATTTTTGCTCTATTGACAACATGTCCCTCATGCAGGACATGGCTTTTATAGGACACTAACTCCACTTCTAGATAATAATCAGGATAATAATTGCACCGCCTGACCACAGTTTATGCTTGACATGTGATCCATTTTAGGATAGCGGGATTAGAGAAGAATTTTTTCTTTTGCTGGAAGCATCTGGGAAAGAAGTTCTTTCTTTTCTTCTGAATGGTGATGTATAATGTAACACTATATAAAAAGCCAGCCTCACGGTGGAACTGATACTATAAAAGACAGACAGGATCAACAGGAAGAAACATGTCCTTAAGAACGTCATCGAACCCTGAATCAAAGGAACCCTGAAGCCCGAACTTCCTGTTAAATAAGCCAATAAATTTCCTTCATTGCTTAAGCCAGTTTTTGTGTTTGTTGTTTGTAATATCGGTTAAGACCTGTGTTGCGAGTAATGGAAAACCCAACTCAAACTGGGTAGGTATCTTTTCTTCAGAATACAGAAGACAGTGTTAAGACTGGTCTTCAGAAGTTCCGATGAACAGGGAGTGTTACAAGTTCCAGTGCCCCAGTGTTCCAAAGACTTCACATTTCCTACTAAAATTTTACTTTAACGTTTTAATATTTAAATATTACAAAGCATTTAGAAGGGAATCTCTTGTAACTGCTCTTAGCTATAGTAAGAAATATTCTTTGAGGAGCCCTTGACTGTGTTTTGCCATCAACTATGCTATTCTTTGAACCACTAGTGGCTAAAACTACTAGAATTTTTTTTTTAAATTTTGCCCTTCCCTACACCTATGGAACTTGCGATAAAACTCAATAGAGAGCCACTCTGGAAGACAATTTTGTTGTTGCTTACAAAACTAAATATACTCTTACCATATGATCCAGCAATCAGGCTCCTTGGAATTTATCCAAAGGAGTTGAAAACTTATGTTTACACAAAAACCTGCACACCGATGTTTAGAGCAGCTTTATTCAAAACTACCAAAAGGAGCAACCAAAATGTTCTTCAGTAGGTGAATGGGTAAGTAAACTGTGATACATCAGACAATGGAATATTATTCAGCATTAAAAAGAAATCAGTTATTAAGCCATGAAAAGACATGGAGGACACTTAGATGCATATTATTAAGTGAAGGGAGCTAATCTGAAAACACTACATACTATATTATAACAATTATATGATATACTGGAAAAGGCAAAACTATAGACAGTGAAAAGATCAGTGGTTGTCTGGGGTGAAGAGGGAGAAGAGAGAAGGGAAGAGCTGAATATTCAGAGCACAGGGGATTTTTAGGGCAGTGAAAATACTTTGTATTTTATAATGATATCATACTTTTGTCCAAGCCCATGTACAGTTGACTCCTGAATAACATAGGTTTGAACTACATGGGTCCACTTATATGTGGGTATTTTTCAATAAATACAGTTGGTCCTTCATATAGGCAGAAATTGCATTTGCAGAGTCAACCAATCCAGACCGAAAACAATATTTTTGCATTCCCAATTGCAGTTTCACAACTGTGGATTCTCATCCAAGGATGGAAAGTACTATTTTTGATCTGCAGTTGGTGAATCTGTGGATACCAAGGGCTGACTCAAGGGAGAGTAAAAAATTATACTCAGATTTTTGGCTGTGCTGTGTGGATGCCACTGCTCCCCACTTCCTCCACTCCACATGTTGTTCAAGGGTCAACTTGTATAACACCAAGACTGAACCCTAAGGTAAACTATGGACTTTGGGAGATTATGATGTGTCAATGTAGGTTCATCCTTGTACCATTCTGGTGAATGATGTTGATAAAGGGGCAGGCTATGCATGTGTGGGGTAGGAGGTATGTGGGAAATCTCTGTACCATCCTCTCAATTGTGTTGTAAACCTAAAACTGCTCTAAAAAAAAAAGTCTTATAAAAAGACAAAACTCAATGGAGACTCACTCCAGACTTCTGACTCCCTGTCTTCCATTTTCTCAGTCTACTTGCCACTTTCTTCCTTCACTATTTTCTCACCCATGTTAGATCAGTTTAATGGTGTTCTCCAGACCCCTACATGCTTTCATTCTCTGACCATTTTTGCCACACTCACCTTAACACTTCTCAAACTTGGATCAAACCAACCATGTGTTTTCTCCTGGTTGCTGAGGGCTACTGGGAAAATCTTAGATTTGATTTGATCCATCTCTA